CATAGACTGTACCAGATCATGGACTGTACCAGATCATGGACTGTACCAGAACATAGACTGTACCAGAACATACATAGACTGTACCAGAACTTAGACTGTACTAGAACATAGACTGTACCAGAACATAGACTGTACCAGATCATGGACTGTACCAGAACATAGACAGCACCAGAACATAGACAGCACCAGAACTTAGACTGTACCAGAACATAGACTGTACCAGAACATAGACTGTACGAGAACATAGACTGTACCAGATCATAGACTGTACCAGAACATAGACAGCACCAGAACTTAGACTGTACCAGAACATAGACTGTACCAGAACATAGACAGCACCAGAACATAGACAGCACCAGAACATAGACAGCACCAGAACATAGACAGTACCAGAACATAGAGTGTACCAGAACATACATAGACTGTACCAGACCATGGACTGTACCAGAACTTAGACTGCACCAGAACATAGACTGTACCAGATCATGGACTGTACCAGAACTTAGACTGTACCAGAACATAGACTGTACCAGATCATGGACTGTACCAGAACATAGACTGTATCAGAACATAGACTGTACCAGAACTTAGACTGTACCAGAACACAGACTGTACCAGAACATAGACAGCACCAGAACATAGACTGTACCAGAACATAGAGTGTACCAGAACATACATAGACTGTACCAGATCATAGACTGTACCAGAACATACATAGACTGTACCAGATCATGGACTGTACCAGAACATAGACTGTACCAGAACATAGACTGTACCAGATCATGGACTGTACCAGAACATAGACTGTACCAGATCATGGACTGTACCAGAACATAGACAGCACCAGAACATAGACAGCACCAGAACATAGACAGCACCAGAACATAGACTGTACCAGAACTTAGACAGCACCAGAACTTAGACTGTACCAGAACACAGACTGTACCAGATCATGGACTGTACCAGAACATAGACAGCACCAGAACATAGACAGCACCAGAACTTAGACTGTACCAGAACATAGACTGTACCAGAACATAGACTGTACCAGATCATGGACTGTACCAGATCATGGACTGTACCAGAACATAGACTGTACCAGAACATAGACTGTACCAGATCATAGACTGTACCAGATCATAGACTGTACCAGAACTTAGACTGTACCAGATCATAGACTGTACCAGAACTTAGACTGTACCAGAACTTAGACTGTACCAGATCATAGACTGTACCAGAACTTAGACTGTACCAGAA